TCCTGATGCAAGGGTCGCACCTCCTGCATGGTGAGAGTACGGCTGTGATCTCTGTAAGCAATGCGATAGCAACAGCTCACTCGGTCATTCGCCTTGTCCACAAATCTGTCAACCTGTGTCACCTAAGAGAGGAGGAGACCTCGTAAATGTTAATACAGCCTTTGGATCGCCTTGGTTTCCGCATCAGTTCCGCTCTGTTGTTAAGTGGTCTGTGAAGGCGTCGATGTCACTCAACCAATATGTATTACTTTCTACATCACCTACAAAGCCTTTTCCTTCATCTTCCAGGGGTAATTGCCTCGATTCAATCGTGTCCACGTTTCACAACTTCGACAGCCTCCTCATCACTAATCTCAGATCATGAAAACGGCAAACCAAGATTCTTGGGCTCTACCACTGAGCATGGGCCCTCTATAGCTGAGGAAAAAAAGCAAAGATCCTCATTGGCGCTAGTTTACCTTCCACAAATGTAAATAACCCACCGAACTTGCCAACATGACCAATTAAAAACGAGTATACGTGAGCCCATGCACAGATATGGTGGCTGAATGACTGACCTGTTCGACAAGATCATTGGCCGCACCTCTGACAAGTTCGAGGAAGTCACGCTCAAACTCCAGATGATGATCAGACGCGACACGGGGCAGCCAGAAGGAGATGTCCAGGATGCAAGGCGGGTAGACACTCACTGGCTGCCAGAGAGGAAGAGAGTAGCTGGGTTAGTCCACTGAACGACAGTGGACAGAGCCACAGACCTTCTCACTTTGGTTCTGTATTCACCGTGTGCTAATACTTCGAAATTGCATTTTCGTGGAAAATGACTTAATCCATGGATTACTACTACCGTTGTCCGGACTTCTGACTAACGTCCAAAAGGCAATCGAATTTGGTATTGATCAAGTAAGTGAAAGCTTTTACCTTGTAGATGATGGGATCGTTAATGCTCTCCACTTTAAATTGATGCAAAAAGCCCGGATCCTTGGACCAGAATAGACGGATGTCCGGAATACTGTATAGCTTCATGGCCCACCGCTCGAGTCCCAGTCCGAACGCGTAGCCCACCCTATTTGTAACTCCGCCTGACAAGGTCGAGGAAAAATTATCGATTGAAATGTATGAGTAACAAAAACGGCAAGCAATGGAGACAAACTGTGGTCGAGAATCTCCTGACGCAGAATGCCGCAACCTAGCATCTCTGTCCAGCCATCGGAAGCGGTGCCCGTCATCACACCTGTCTGGATTTCCAACTCCCACGAGGGATGTGTGAAAGGAAAATACGCCGGTACCCACCGCATTGGGACATCTGTAAAAAAATCGCGGTGTAGGTTTAAAAAAACAGCTAGAAATACTCACTCTTCCCGAATAGATTGATGGCAAGCTCCTCCAAAACGGATTTTAGTTGAAACTCAACACAATAAGCGGCTTCGAGGGTATGACGAGGTTGCCTGCCAGGAGGAAGTTCAGAAGAGGGTACAGCACTGGAGAGAGATTGCAAGACCTTCGGCGGCAAATGCTCAAAGAGGTTAAGACATTTACTGGGATCCACTGCTTCTTTGAACAGCTGGAATTGAAATGTAGGGAGTGAATATCACCCCACCCACTCCACTATTAACGAACCTCCTTTGCAGTGAAAAGGCGAACACCTTCCAATTGGTGAAATGCAGGATAGTGCAGAGCATCGATGTCGTCTCGACGGTAAACGTCACCAACGGTGACGAAAGCGTTAAGGCCCGACTTTATAAGTTCCATCTCGTGCGCAGATGTGTGGCTACGAAGCACAGTGTGTTCATTGATGTAGTAAGTGTCTGTTGGTCGACGACTTACATGGTCGGGAGTAACGAGAAGGCTGTCAAAGTTCTGGAACGAAGACACAACTGGACTGAGGAAATCATGCACGGAAAAGAGAGGATGAGAAGTGCCGATTCCCTCGTCCTTCTGATGGGATGAACGCTAGGAAGGAAAGCAGTTTAACTGCAATCTGTAGTAGAAAGGAAAAGTTTCAGAGACAACAGAGCAACCTTGTGTATAAACTCCGTGATCCGACGTTTGAGCAGCCACAGTGGATGATATTCTTGATTGTGTAGATTTCGTGAAATGAGGTCAAGAATTTTGGGAGAAACATTAAACCAGGAGTCTGTTTCGTATACTTGACCATGGATGGAAACCCATTTCCTTAGGGTATTTGATGAGGGTGAAGGGGAAAATTTGCACCTTTTCTGAAAATTAAGAACAAATGGTTTAAAAAGAAACAGACCAAAAAACAGCCTCACAAATTCACAAATTAGCTTACGTATGAAGCGGAAATATGATTTTGAGAAAGGCATAATCGCGGAATTTTCATCATTTAGCTAAAATGTGTCAAAAGAAATGAATGTTTGGTGTCAGATTTAAAAATAATAGACGGAGCTAGGAGAAAACCACTACTCTTAATCGCCTGCATAGAGACATGACAGCACTTCAGAAGCCGAAATGATTTATAAAACTAAAACCACCAAGCCACGGACTACCCGCTACTCACAACGCAGCCGACTCGGATTCAAAAATGCGTTCCCCCAGGCCATAATGAACAAAACTAAGATAAATATAATTAACTGAATTTTTGTCATAATA